ATAAATATCTGCTTCTAACGGATAGTCGTCTCAATGAAACATCAGCTGAGTGGTGGTAGGCTTTATGGCGGTAAAATACGTTTTTCATCAACCGTAATTAGGCGACCCTTTGAAAATTGCAAGCTCAGCAGCCCAAATCAAGCCACTTCTCTGTAAAATCAACTAAACTGAAAACAGCGGCGTAGTCTGGACCACCAAGCGGATTCGAGGTAGCGGACAAACCTAATTAACGACTATGCTATCAACAGAAAACGGAATAAATGCGAATCTTTTGGACAACCATGTATTCTGTCGTTTTGGCCGATGGTCAGCCCGCCTGATTACTTTGCTAAGGCCATCGCAGAATGTTTGTGAAGCCAGTGGTAGAGGGGCATTCACTGATAGCGTTACGGGACATAATTGTTCCGTCCTGCCTTGAGGCACAACTGCCGCACAGCAAGGTCACTGTGTGAATGAGAGAAGTTTCAACGCCCAAATCGGGGTTTGATTCAGCGTTGGAGGAATCAGAATCTGTGGAATCTTCGTGATACATGCCATCGTCAACTAATAAACTTGGAGCTGCCACCTGCATTCTTCATTCGTAAAACGAAGTTTGGTAATTTTCCAATTAGACCGCTATCTCGCGTGTTCATAGAAAACGTAGTTAATCTGACTTCTCGACAGATGACGATGATTAAATCTGAGTGAAGGTACCAACCGCTAACAAGAATAGTCCACTGAGGCCGGACCATTTCTGTTTTACACCTGACATAGTCTGACGCTGATGCAACTCCATGATATCCAAGTCAATACAATATGGTCTGTCTCGCACCAACTTGCATTCAAATTTAATCAGGACGGGTGTTGACAACAGTGATTTGCTAGAGACCTAACTTCATCGCAATTATGTTCGTATGGATAATGGATGATGCCGTAGTAATATTGAACATGCTATTCCCAGGTGCTAATTCAGAAGAAGCAAGAGCGTTCACAGGGAAAGGTTTAATTGATTCCTGATGTTTCAGTCGGTTGTGTCGTCCGCTCAGTTCAAGAAACCGAACATTCCGGCTCAAGGCTGCTTTTTTTGAGTGCCTAGCCTGCCAATACCAGTTAAGCCACTGCGTATGCCTCATTAATCATTATCATGTACGCGTATACGACCGAATAGGGGTCCGACATAGGTGAGCTAAAACCGGCGATTGTGACTATAGTGGGATTAGGTGGGAACGGTTTCGTAAACAATTTTACCGTTCTATGTTCGGCGACGGGGGGTTGACAACATTGACTGTGATGTAGGAATCTCACAAGGCCGAGTCAGACAAGGTGAAGAGTCAGACAAGGGTGAAGTTGAGCTACGGTACTCTAGTCTTCCGCATCGCCCTAGTCTTCTATGTCCAGTTTAGTTTTAAGGTTTGTCCCAGATACCTCGACATACTGTCACGCATGTCGATCCTGTGCGAGGACCTCTCAAGCTCTTTTCGTAGGAGAATAGTATACATAGACTATAATCCACCATTCTCAAGAGGTCACGGAGAAAGATAAACCCAACTTGGCGTTGCAGAAGTAATTCGCATACTGGTTGATCCTAGAAAGTATCCGTGGCCCGTTCTTGGTGATTGCCCTTCGGTATTCTCAAAAGACAGATAAAATGAACGTGTTTCGGCTTCCCCGTTCGGTCATGATATAACGCTCACGACTCCTCGCCGCAGTTTCAAGATCACGGGACTGTAGAGAAGTCGTCAAAGATCACGCAACACGTCGACATATGCGAAAGATTGATACTCTTTCACTAATCGGCACTGACTGAAGTTGTGATACTGATTATTGTGTAGTCTACTCTGAAGGCATTTCAGTCATGATAGGATGCGGGCTTTTTAACGAGCTTCGTT